ATGGGGACTCCCCTCCACCACCACCAATGTGCAGCATCCACCTGGATGATGCGACGGCAGCCATAGTGCGCCAGAACGCTCACCACACATCAGCTATCCGTGGGGAGGAGAGGAGAGTAATGTAGCCAATTCATAGAGGGGGATTATAAGGAGGCCATGATTGGTAAACGGGAAATTTGGCCACGACGCCAGGGTTATACCCCTACTCTTTTCGAGAAACGCCTTGGGATTTTTAATGACCACAGATAGTCAGTACCTCGGTTTTACGTCTCATCCGAAGGACGGCGCCTGTTTACAGTATAGTGTCCCCATCACTATACTGGAGCATTAGGACCCACATGGACCGCAGGGTGAGCGATCCTACTGGCCCCACTAACACCTCTTCCAGCAGCAACCTTAGTTTTTCCCAGGAGGTTTCCCCATCCAGGTACTGGCCAGGCTTACACCTGCTGAGCTTCAGTGGGTTGCCAGTTGTGAGTTGCAGGGTGATATGGCTGCTGTATTGTCTCTCTAGTCTTGTCTACACCTGTGTGCTAGTGAATTCAGACTAACTGTGAGGGATGAACTCATACCCAGTATTTATCATTGTATTCCTCGGAACTGATCTCACTTCCGTACTCCTATAAATACAGAGCTGAAGGCAGAATATGGGCACAGACGCGGACATGAGCCACTCGTCTCCAGGCGGGACAATGGAGGCAGTGAGAACAGCGCTCGGCCACGCCCGTCTTCCGCACTGGGCTCGGGACTCTGCGTGCCTCGCTCTGCACATCCCCCGCGGGGCAGCGAATCTAAACGGGCAATCAGAGCCCCCTGCCGCGAGCCCTATCAGGAAAGTGCGAGCCGGGACAATCGGCGATCGCCGACCGGAACTGGAGCTGACTGGAACTGGGGGAGACCGCAGCGCCGATCATCGGCAGAGCCCCCGAGCTCCGCCAGCGGAACGCACCCCCCACACCCCCGCTCCTCCCCACGCGTGTTTGGTGTTCCACTGCGCTTTCGTGGATTTGAAGGTGGGAAGGAGAAATAAAAGGCGCTGGTCTGATTTATTCCGGGATGAATCTGCGGGCTGTTGAACTAGTTCTTGTTTAACCATTGTTCATGAAACTTTGTACAGATGTTAAGGGCCAGTACAGATCCCCACCCGTGATGTGAACTCGCAGCCTCCTAGGAGAATGACGACGAGTCCACACTGGTTCCCACGGCACCGGTGTCGTAAAACCAGCGATTCGACTTTGTTGAAAGTCGCTCATTATTATTAGTCGGTAGCGACTTACGGGAGTGTCGGGGCTGTTCCCAGACAACACCGCGACTTCCCGAGACGGCATCTGCTCGGACACGCCTGCGAGTTGGGCTCCCTTTACTAGCGACGAGTAGGGCTGCTCAAACAGGCCGAGGGACAGCCAAGCCACACGCCCCCTACCCGTCTCCTCCCCACGCCCTCTCCCCTCTCCGCCACCAGGGCCTCCCTCCCGCCAGACAATCCAGTTCAAGGCGCTTTATTGTCATGACCGATTAGTCACAAATCAGTGTTGCCAAAGCAAAACAAATACAATTAACATAAAACAAAAATCTCCATTTACAATAAAGACACAATCATGAGATATTTATATATAAACATGTGGAGCATTATTGGGTTGTAACAGGCTCACATCCTGGGCTGCCAGTTCAACTGAGTTCCCTCCTCCCTCTCCCAGTAGGAACGGGAGTTTTTGTGATTCGTGCAGGTGTGGGATTTCTAGGATTAGCTGTGTAAATTTGGGGAATAATGTTTCTCTAATTCCAGAATATCTGTCTCAGTGCAGTAGGAAGTGCACCTCTGTTTCTATTTCTCCCTGCTAGCAGTGGGAACACAGCCTTTCCTCTCTGGGCAGCCAGGTCTGCCTGTGTCCAGTGTCTGTGTCCAGTCTGTGGTCACTCAGCCCTCCTCTCTGGACAGCCAGGTCTGCCTGTGTCCAGTGTGTACAGTGCTTGTGTCCAGTCTGTGGTCACTGAGCCCTCCTCTCTGGACAGCCAGGTCTGTCTGTGTCCAGTGTGTCCAGTGTCTGTGTCCAGTCTGTGGTCACTGAGCCCTCATCTTTGGACAGCCTATGACTGAGCCTGTAAAAGTCCCCCACGAGGCCGGTCCCAGCCGGACTGAGCAGCAGACTCTCAGCCTCTCGGCTCGCGGGGCTCCAAATCCTCGCGCCGGGGCTGGCGAAATAGGGCGTCGCGAGCCATCACGCGCTATTCTTTGCTTCCAGCACCCGGACAATGCGGGACCATATGTTTCGCACGTCACATCAACACACAAAAAGAAAGGGCGGCGACGACACCTCGGGGGCAGACAGTTCTCTCAGCTACGCGCTATGGGCCATCAGCTCAGGCGAGAAGAAAATAACAATTATAATGATAAAGGTGTAAGGACAAGGCTACCGGCCAGAGTTTCCCACGAGTTCACTCGCCCAGCTCGAGGCGCGTCCCCACGCACGGGCTAGCGGGAATTACCACGCTCTGAATATGAAAATAAAACGATGGCGTGTTTTTCCTCATCTCCGTATCTGTTCCTTATTCTAAACCGGACTTGAGTGAATCTCCTGTATCGATCCTCACGGCGCAAAAAGGATAAACGTGTCAAAAAGCAGATTCGCGATCAGCAGGGTCCGCTCACCCTGCGGTCTTTGTGGGTCCTAATGCCCCCGTTGAGTTATGGGGGCACTACTGTAAAACCGAGGTCTTGACTCTCTGTGGTCATTAAAAATCCCAGGGCGTTTCTCGAAAAGAGTAGGGCACTGATGTCCTGGCCAAATGTTTTGGGCGATCATGGCCTCCTAATAATCCCCCTCTCTGAAGTGCTTTCATTAATCTGTTCTCCTCCCCACAGATAGCTGGTGTGTTGTGAGCGTACTGGTGCATGACCCATGCGGTGCTACAGATTGACGGTGGTGGTGGAGGGGAGTCCTCATTACCTCTAAAAAAAGGGGCTTTGTGTCTTCTAGAAGTGTAAGCAATTATTATTATTATAGTAGTTTTACAACAAGTTTACAACTTTTGAAAGACCTTCATTATTTTATTAGTTCAGTTGGGTAGCTGCGTCAGCATCTGTAGTGTGCAAAGGAACAAGTAA